GCACAGATAGAGAACGTTTCCCTCATCCCAGCAAGTTATAAGGGACAGCACAGCCCACCTGCCTCCGTGTCCCTCTTGTGAGCACCTCCTCTCCTCCCTATACTGGGCCACACGGGTCTGTCGGATCCGAGAACACGCCAGGCTTATAGCCTTTACACCCAAGGTTCCCTCTGCCTGGAGCACCATCCCCCCACTCCTGATATGGGCAGCTTCTCTCATGCTTCAGGGCTCAACCCAAGCACCCCTCTCTATTCTGCACCAGCCCCTCGTTCGTGTCCCTCACAACACTTAGTATCATTTGTCATCATTTTGCCAGCTCATTCACGAGTTTACTCTTTGTCTACTCCCTTAGAACGGAAGCCCAGAGGGAGCAGGACCCAGAATTTTTTCCTCGTTGTGTTCCCAGGGACGGGCATGGCGTATAGCCCATTTGGCCACTCAGCACCTACGTGAGTGACTGGCTGAGAGGGCCCCACGCAGAGAAAGTATCATGTGTGCAAAGGCAGAGGCAGGTTTCTGCGCGGGGCAAGTCGGTGGAGGGCTGGTAGGGAAACAAAATAAGGGAGACTATTTAAAGATTGGGGAGGTGGCAGCGTGGTTCATCAGGGGAGGTTATAAGGTGCCTGAGTTAGGTAACCACTGAGGAGCCTGCTAGCTGACCAAAGGAACTCAGCTCGGAAAGGCTAGACAGCAGGGAACTGGCCCCTTGGGCACCGTCGCTGTCCATGAAGTCCGAAGGTGCCTGGAACAGGGGCCCGTTACAGAAGAACAGGGCTAGATAAGGTGACACCATGATGGCAAGCTTACGGGCCCATAAAGGAAGGTTAACTCTTCCAACTCCCCAGGGGTATCTGCATCAGTTTGGGATAGAGGGGGAAGCGGTCCAGTCACCTGGGCGGCAGGGTGGGCCAGAAGCAGTAGGAGCCTCAGAGGCCTCCTCTTAGGCTTCAGCTGGCCCAGCCAACCCCTCCTCCTCCCATCTCTAGATTGTAAGTTCTACAAAGGCAGGGCTTTGACTTCTTCACCACGGGAGCCTCCATGCCTGGGACAAGGCCTGTCACATAGTAGATGTTCAATAAAGACTTGTAGAGGGGCGCCTGGGTGGCTCAAGCTGTTAAGTGTCTGACCCTTGATATCAGCTCAGGTCTAGATCTCAGAGTTGTGAGTTCAAGCCAGGCTGGGCCTGGAGCCTACTTAAAAATACATACATACATACATACATACATACATACACATATACTTGTTGAATAAATAAATCCGTATTCTATTTTTTAAATGAATGAAACTTGAGGTCACAGGATGTTTTACTTCCAAGGGCATTGGAAGCCCTGAATGTCGGAAGTGAAATCTGGGTCACGGGTAGTGCTGGAGGGAAGGCAGCAAAGAGAATTAGAACCCCATTCGTGCTCATTCATTCTAACACCTTTGAGGATGGAAATTTCCTCATCTTGTTTCAGAATCAAATCAAAATTATCTTCCTTCAAGATGCTTTTCCCAAACCACCCCATACCCTCTAAACTCAAATTAACCCCTACCCCTTAGAATTTTTTCATCATCTAAAAATGTCACCTGCAAGCATTTCAGAGCTCAGCTCACATGACAGAGTCTCACTGACATCTGTCCTTCGCCTTCGTCTCTGGCCTGGTTCTGAGGCAGGACCCCACATGGGGTGGGGTTCAGGCAGGCAGAAGAGAGAGGTGATGGAAAAAGCTCTGTCCTGCTGACGCAAAACCATGCACTTGAGCCCCAAACCAATCTTTCCAGCCTGAATATACGTCGCGCATCTTGGGCCAGAATGTGTGACTGACGCTCTTCCTTTCCTTCTCCCCAGTGGGAAGTCAGACCTGGGTCCAAAGCAAGGCTTCACCACTGACTTAACCTTTCTGAGTGTGTTTCCACTTCTGCAAAATAATACCCCCTCGGGGGTTACGGGGAGGATTACATCAGAAAATATATGCCAAGTGGACCTGCTCTCGGCTCTGCAGATCTTCGCCATCTCTCTGTCCACTGCCAGGCTTCCCTTCACTCTGACGTGGGGTAGGGGAGACAAAGAAAACGTCCAGAGGAGCTGGTTCAAGATTCTCCTGCCTTACATAGCCCCATGATTGACATCAGAAGCCCCGAGTGTTAGGGCAAGGGCGGATTGGGTGAGCTATCAATCTACCTGCACTCTTTACAGATTTGGTGCCAGGCCAGAGGCAGGGACTTGTCTGGCATCATGAAGCTAGTTAGTGACCCAGCTGGAACCAGTAGCCAGGAGGCCTGACTTCCATGCCAGATGATGGAAATAGATCCTGTTAAAAGATTGATCCATGGAAGGCTTTTGAGTCCTCTTCCCTGTCACAGGGAAATCATGAGGAGGCAGCCCGGCACTGCCATGGGGTGCCCAGACTCTGGACCCTGGGTGCCTGTGTTTGGCCCTGTCTCTGCCTATTACCAGCTAGGGGGCCCCACCGAGCCTCAGTTTCCTCACTTGAAAAAGACCGATGATGGCCCTGATACTGAAACCCACTGTGTAGGCTCACTGTAAGGATTCAGATGAGATGGTCATGCAAAGGGCCCAGAACCGTGCCTGGCTTATAGGCTTGCTGCTTGTAGGAGCACAGCAAATGTCAGCTATTGCTATCAGTATATCAAAATAATGTCAATATCAAAATAATAGAGAAGTATAGAGAAAAAACTGAACTTCATATCTGGAAACAATTTTAAAGATGATCAGTTTCGACTTCCAGGGGATAAGTATGGCCTTTCATAACAACATAGGCTGTGCCAATCACCTGCTGCAGGGCCCTTCCACATGCTAGAGGTAGCAAACTTATCATTATTTAAAGACATAATTAACATTTATTATAGCTAGCATATTAGGTTTTAGATAGGCCAAATGCGTGATACAATGGAGTTGTATTTTTATGTGCTGTCATGTATACTTTATAGTACATTGGGGCCCTTATATAATCCATGAGCACTGCACTTTAATGCCCGTTTTATAGGACTTTTATAAGGGAGGTCAGATAGTGTGGAGGGAAGAGCAGTGACCCAGGAGTTACCAGGCCTGATTAGAATGAAGGCTTTGCCACATAGTAACTGGGTGACCGTGGGCAAGCTACCCCCTCTCATCAGAAAAATTCAGACACTGGGCTGGATGATGTCTAAGAATCCATCCAGCCCTGACAGTCTATGGCTGGAAGCAGAATCTTAAAATTTTAAGTGATGATAAAGGTGTATGGGTGTTGAACCTCTGTATCTATGACATATTGTTGGTCACATCTCTGATTTATTTGATGCTAAGTTCTTAGGAACACAACGCTCAATTATAAAACTATTTCTATTGGAAACTATGATCTGCTTTACAATATTCTGCCCTGCACGTGACTACCCCATGCATTATGGGGAGAAGGAGGGGCTCCCTGCTTATAACACCCACTTCTCAGAAAATGAGCAAGTGACCTTCATGAGGTCGCTGAGACTGTCACTCAATTTTGCAATCCTTCATCCTATAATTCCTAACAAGCATAGACTCTGATGGCCCCTTCCTCTGCAGATCAGAAGGGCAAACTAAAAATGAAGTATGTGAGCTGTGAGCGTCAAATACAAAGGACAGCTAAAGGGACAGCTGTGAGAGTATAACACTGCTGGAGGACTCCCCAAAACTAAGGAGCTGATGGACTGCGCCGCTACACAGTTCAGAAATGGTGTCCAGAAGGAGAATCCTGAGTCATCAAGAAATGCGTGAATTCTGTGACCATCTTTTGCTGGAGGAGGAAAGGCAGGGTGTGATGTCTTTTAGAAAGAGTTCCATCAACATGGTTTTGAAAATTATCAGCTCCTGGTGTGAGCTACCTTCGTGCCTGGGACCACGCTCCATGGACATCACTATACATGTGTCCCCAGGGGTTTGTGTGTCTAGGAGAATGCACGCAGAAGTCCCAGAATAGTAAGTCCCTAGTGGGGTAGTTTTATGGGGCAGGCAGCCTTTCAGGTTTCCAGGAAGGATCTGAGTAGGATACAAAGTAGACTTAATTTACCTTAAGTTGGCTAGCTTTCATTCATTCGTCCATTCAAAAATGGTTTTTTATTGAGCCCCTAATATGTGCCAGCACCATTTTACAGGCTAAGCCTGGAGTTTCAGAGAGGATCCCCTGTTCACATGGCGTTTTCCTCTGGCATGCCCACACATGACAGGTGTACTAGTGTGCGGTCTTGTATCTCCAGTCTGGTCCTTGGGACTTCATGCCCCCCTCTCCCCCGTCCTCTGAGGGGGAAGCTGCCTTCGAGTAGAATGGTTGTCCCCATAGGATTGCGTACTCCCTTTGGACAGGGGCTGTGCTTCAGCGCAAGGCCTGGGAGCCCTCCCCCACGGGGCTGGTCTCTGCCATGACCTCAGGACAGAAGAAGGTAGATTTCTGGCTCTCCCGGGGGGGCCTGGTCAAGAAAGACTCCTTTTTCCTCGAGAGAAGTCTCCCTGGGTTCCTGAGCTGAGCACATACTTTCTCCATGAGCGAGCAGGGCCAGGACAGAGGGGCGTCTCCCTGGGGCCTCACCTCCTGCACGTCACGGGGGGAGGGAAGCGAGAGAAAGGAGCGGAGGGCCGGGAGACGCCGAGGTCCCACACTCGGGCCTCGCAGCCCTGCCCCCCAGGAGCGCTCGCTCGCGCAGCGGCAGCGCCCTGCAGCTCGGCACCCGCGGCGGCGGCGGCGGCGGCGGCGCGCGGCCAGTGCAGTGGGTGGTGCAGGGCAGGGGTGGTATATCCAGTCTGACCGAGGGCGGGCCTCGCCAGTGCCAGCACGGGGACGAGCCGGGGCGGAGGCGCCAGGAGCCGCCGCCGGGAGCCTCACCAGGACCACTCACTCTATGGCCCTCGGGAGCCGCTGAGCACAGCAGAGCCAGCAGAGCCGCAGCCGCCCGCCCGCCGCCCCTCGCCGCCCCTCGCCGCCCCTCGCCGCCCCTCGCCGCC